ATTGTATTAATATATTGTATTAATATATTATATTATCAAAAAAATTGTTTCAATTACATTTAAAATATTTTAATCGGTTAATTTTTAAAATATTCTTTTTGATTTATTTTACATTCTTACTAACTAGTTTTGTTAAACATTTTTTCATCAGCTATCTTATAAAATAACAATTAACTTATCAGTCTTCAGTTAACTTATCAACTAGTTTGTCAAATATAACCTAAATATGAATTTAGTAATATATATATATATATATATGTGTGTGTGTGTGTGTGTTTTTCATATATCCCTTTATATACATACTAATTGTGTATCTTTATGATATAACAAATATAAATTTTAAATAAATCATAAATCGTTTTTAAGTAATCATATAGGAAGGTTTAAACGAGGATGGCTAAAATGAAAGCATAAATACCAATTGTCAAATTAAATGACATAACATATTTGATTAAAAATGTGGTTGTACAAAAAACCATCCCTATTATTTAATGAAAAATTGGAGTAATTTCGAAAATAAACATCTTATTAAAAAAAATCATCTATTTTTTATGCTTTTCTATTATTTATTTTTTGTTATTTTTTTTGAAAGTGGCTATCATATATATATGCACATAAATGACTAAAAATTTGACTTCTTTTTTGGAACACAAACTCTAGGAAATTGCATTCCATGTTTTCTTGTTTCATCTACGCATGTTTCGTTCGATCCCACCTCCCTCCCTGGCTAACCTTAGTCGTTGAGTGAACAAAAAAATGCCTCTTACATCAGATGTAGATCTAGAGTTTTTTTCCAATTGTTGGCAGCATTTGACTATAAGAAACAAAAATATGAATATTTTTACAAAATCATCATTGGTCTATTAGTTAGATCATTGTTTTGTATATGTGTTCGAGTTTTTATTACAATTTCTATAAGAAAACATAATAAATTTGAAATAAAAAACTAAATTAAATGACATAAATGAGATTTAAACTCATGCCCAGAATATGAGAAAAGTAATGCAAACTAACTCTACAAATGAAAACTTGTGTCATTTATAGTTTCAAATTATATACAGTTGAATGGAACAAAATGATACGATGACAACTTTCTCAATCCTACATTTTTTTGCACCACAATGGAGGAAAAAACCATTCGTCCATGCCACCTTACAAAAATAAAGCAAGCCCGCCCCTCCTTCACATTGTTGTTTTTAAAGGCAAGTCTCGTGTGGGACCGATTGCAGTTATCGATAATCAATTTTTTACCTAGATAAACGATAACCTTCAATAAATTCATAATTTGTATGTAATATTTCATAGACATTATACGTTATAAAAGTTGGAATTTTGAAAAATTGTACGTATATCTCCACTTTTCACGTGTCGTAATTAATTTTAGAATTATAGTATTTAAAGTTTGTAAAAAAATAAATAAAGATTATTATAACTTGAAGTGAACAACAATGGCGGTATTTGAATTTTCCCTCTCCTTCAATGGTTCCTTCTACCTTCATATATAAATTCACCACCGCCATTCTTCCTTTCTTCCATCTCTCTCCAATGGCTTCCGACCACCACCCCGCCACCACTTTCGTCCAAGCCAACCCTTCCAACTTCCGTGCCGTCGTCCAACGACTCACCGGCGCCACCCCACCAGAATCCTCTTCTTCATCCCACAAACACCCCATCGTCGCCGGAGATATTTCTCATCGGAGATCCGGATTCAACCTTCATGAAAGAAGACAAACCACAGGGAAACTCGAGATCACTCTCAACCGACCCTTTGGTATCATCTCTCCGTCGTCAGCAAGGCAACGGAGCTTCGCCGGAGGCGAGATGATGATGTCGTCGCCGGTTTCGACGTTGGATGTTTACGGCAGAGGGAGTCCACGGACGCCGGTGGAAGAAGAAGAGAGAGCTATTGCTGAGAAGGGGTTTTATTTGCATCCTAGCCCGCTTAATACTCCTAGAGGATCCGAACCCGAATTGTTGGTTCTGTTTCCTCTTCGTTCACCCAAAACGGATCCATCGTCTTCTTCTTCTTGACCCGATTGTAATAGGGTTTATGATGTACTATTAGATGATTATTAATTAGGATTAATTAGTGTGTTTTAATTTCATTTAATGTAATTTTATCCGAATTTACGAGATTATGATCATTTTATTTTATTTTACAACCAACCGGCTTTTTCATCGTGAACGGACCTAATGTAGAGCATATAACGGCTCGTACCACCTTATTGTTCATCCGTCACGGTGTAAAAATTTATAATGTCGTGAAAATGTCATCCTATTAATTTGTTATGTGTCCTCGTATATATTTTAAAATTACAATGAGAACATAAGTTTCGATTAGTAAAGTTAGTTTGCAAGACTTTTCTTTCACTCCAGACTTGAGTGTGAATCTTCTTATGTTATAATCTTAGTTTTTAGCTTTTAATTTCAGATTTATTATTATTTTTTTAAAATAAAATTACCATAAAAACTTGAAAACATAAACTCATATATGATAATTAATGAACTAATCAACAAATTAATAATAATTTTATGAAAAATATTTATATATTTGTTTCTTATGGTTAAATAATGCCACAATTTGAAAAAAAAAAAAAATCTTATTTTGGCCCATATTTTTTTTGAGGTATATAATATTAGTAGACAACAAATAAACTCACATACCCTCCACACATTTGATGAGGTTTGAAACACTGACCTCCTACGAAAGCAAAGACTACGATATCACTACATCAAAGACCATTTGATTTCCAGCCCATGTTTTTCATCCAAAAATTATTCAAAAACAAAGAAACTAAAAATTAAAATCTTAAAAAAGAATTATTTTTATTAAAATATTTAATAAAATTATTATTTACCTATGTTTAGTTTATAATTAATTTCAAATAGTTTTATTAGTGAGAATAATAGTTATTCATCATTTTTATTTTTAAGCAACCATTTTGAAAAGGTTATTTAAATCAGAAGAGTGTTAGGTGGCATTTGTTTTTTAAGAGGTGCTTAAGTCTGAAGTCTTAATTCATTTCTGAATTTTAAGAGGTAGTGCTGAAGTCTGAAATCTGAATCAGTCAGACTGTTTGTTTTTACGTCTGAAATCTGAAATCTGAATCAGTCAGACTGTTTGTTTTTACGTCTGAAATCTGAAATCTGAAATCTGAATCATTGAAATCTAGGCTTTCTTTGCAAGCATTGGAAGCTCTAAAAGCAATTAAGAGGTTTTAAGTGAAAATGTTACCTCTAAATAATTCAGACATAATCAGAGCTTTTAAGCTCTTAATTGAAAAAAAAACAAACACACTTAATACCCTAAGGTCTGACCGATTCATACATAAGAGGGTATTAAGTGCTTTTTAGGTAAAAACAAACAGGGCCTTAATTTTCTCCATTTTTAAATAAAGTTTTATAATGAAAATATTCTTGATTTTTTAAGTAATATCGGGAAGAAAAAAAAGGTTCAAGCGACATCCGCTTTGCATGTAAAATCATAACGTTTTTTTTTTTTTACTTTAATTCTCTCACTTTTTGGTCTTTAATTCGTCAACGAGTGATATTTGTATTTTTTAAGCCCTATCCGCTTTTCATGTTAAATCATGACATTATTTGACTTTAATTTAACTTCACTTTTTGGTCTTTAAATTGTCAACAAGTGATATTTACGTCTTTTAAGCCTCACTTTGCATTTTATTTTGACAAAGAATAATTTAATTGACGAATTAATTGCATTTTTATATACTGTTGAGTACAATCCATAATATCGATACGGTTTTTTTTAATGGTAGATTAAATTCATATACAGTATTTGCTAAATGTATACTTGATTATAATTTTTAATATTTTTTTTTACCTAAATGAAAATCAAATTTCAAAAAACTCCAAAAATAACTGTATTCAACTTTGACAATTCTTTATTCTTTAGATTATAACATTGATATTGTTATTTGAAAGTCTGTAAATTTAAAGAATTTTATCTTTTCTCTTACTTTCTTTGTATTATAGATTTTTTTTTAAAAATCTGTTGGAGCAAAAACTTGCTTAAAATCTCAAATTTCTTCCGTCTTCGCTTAGAAATTATGGGAATAATTTGGAGATGCTCTTAGAGAGAAGATAAAATTCTTAAATTTTTTGAGATGTCTCTAAAACGATTGCTTAAAATGAGAAATGATATTCTATTATTTTTTATCAATAATAATTATGAAATTAAATGACAATGGTAGACGGGGCGGACCTATGAAGCCTTATGCGGTGTCTGTGAGCTAAATTGAATACTTGATTTTAAGGGATGCTTTAGATATTAGAAAATACTAGAAGTGTACTCGTGCAATGCAACGAGATACATTTTGATTTTAATATTTATCTTAGTCGATATTATAGTATGGTCTTATGTGATTTTGAAAAAAATGATGATGTTTTTATTTTTATATAAATTTGAAGATATAATAAAAATTTGACAAAAATATATCGATATTAATATCAAATTAACTATTTAAAATTCCTATTTTTTGTGTAATTTTTTAATTCAAATTTTTTATTATAATTTAATTTAGGTTAAATAACAAAGTAATTTATATTTGTTTTAATAATATAATTTTCTTATAACGATAATAATTAATTATTTTGTTAGAACTCGATAATTATCCTAATTATAATTTAGAATTTTTATATTTCAAAATGAGATGCTTATCCTATATTTGATTATGTTTATCCGCAGTTAGTTACACGAATTCAAACATAAAGGTTTAATAAGTTGTACTTATGCANTGTTAAATAACGAAGTAATTTATATTTGATTTAATAATATAATTTTCTTATAAAGATAATAATTAATTAATTTGTTAGAAGTCGATAATTATCTTAATTATATTTTAGATTTTTTATATTTTAAAAAATAAGATGTTTATCATCTATTTGATTATGTTTATCCGCAGTTAGTTATACGAATTCAAACATGAAGCTTTAATAAGTTGTACTTATGCATAATTTATTTGAAATCTAGAACTTTAAATAATATGCATCAATATACAGTATTTCAAGTATAAAAATGATTTTAAGAGTTTTTATCAAATGCTTTATAATATAGTATAGATAAAGAGTATCAGAGGTTATTATTATTTCTTTTTCTGCTTTTGTGTTAAGCTTATTTATTTTTTTTAATAAATTATTCGCTACAAAAGGATTTTTTTTTAAAATAAAAAAAAAATCTCTTGAAATCATTCAAAAAACTGGATAAACATCTCCCAAAATCAATCAAAAAACATAGAAAAATTACTTGAAATGGAGGATTTCAGCTAAAAAGACATTGGACGACTTTCCGGGCATTTGATTGGTTTTAAAGGTACACTCGTTCAGCAAAAATCTTAAATCCGTCGCTATATAAAATAAAATTATAATTTTTTTTAAATTGTAATAAATATTTTAATAAGATAACTATTCCGACAATGTTTAAAATAATAATATATTTGATTTAATTGTAAATCTTTTTAGTGTTCTAAAACTTTCTATTTTAAGAAAAAAATTTAAAAAATCTCTTAGAAATATTATATATAATCGTCTAAAAATTTAAAATATCATGATTAAAATGAAAAAAGTTGGTCAATGAAGTGATGAAGAGGGTTTTAGAAAAAATGAAGAGCAACAATCATTGGTGACAAATAAATCAACGGATTGTTTCTTTTTAACTTTACGGACGTAAATGATACGAGATAATGTATTCGTAAACTGTTTGAAATCAATTTGGTCAGTACTCGATTTGAATAAACTTGTTTTGAGCTCGAGTTCGACTCGGCATATTAACAAGCCAAGTCGAACTATTCAATACTCGACTCGAAAAGCTCGTGAGATGTTCAATTTTTTTTTTATCTATAATTAGTTTTATAATGTAATTTGTAAAATATAATGTAAACAGTTTATAACAGTTGAGCTTTGTTTCAAACTTGATTTGAGTTTGAGTTTGAGTTCGAGATTGCTTCGAGTTTGAATTTGACATTGGTGCGAGCTTCTACTGAGTTCGAGCTAAAAAGTTGCAATCGAGTTTAAATTAAGTTTAGTTTTTCGTCATTGACGAGTTCTCAAGTCGAGTTTGAACGGGTCAAATATGACTCTCAAATTCGAATATATCCGTATTCGAGATTGACTTGTATCATGTAGACCCTTCAACATGAGAAATGATTTTATATATATCTATACTATCTTATTAAGCAAATTTAACAAAAATCTTAAAGTCTTAAAATATTAAATGACCATAATACTCTTTATACTACCCTTATCTTACGCCACTTTTTCACCCCTCCTCTTCTCACATACACTCACCCTCTCACAAGCGAATTTTTTTTTAAATTATAATTTTAAATTTACATTTTATACTCATATAATTAGTTAATTAATTTATTTTACGTTCTTTACTTTTAAATGTTTCATTTTAAACAATTATCAAATTAATATACATAATTTTATATCAATTAAAACATGTTTAAAAAATACATTTTTATTTTAATAAGTTACACCATTATAATCGTCTCGTTAATACATTCGAAATGAGTCCAATATTGAATAGTTTTTGACTTAATTATATTATTATATATTATATATATTGTGAAAAATATTTTTAATATTTACGATTTATACTTTTATAGTTATATATATATATATATATATATATATACACTATATATTTTAGGGTTAGGCTGTCAAAATTGCACTGTATAATATGTTCTTGAGTTTTTTTGAAATATATATATACATGTATTAATTCAACCTTAATCTGAGTTTCTGGACAAGAAAGAGGGTAAGTAGTTAAAATTTCATTCTAAAACTCATATTTTTTGGTCTTTTCATGGCTTATGATATGTCAAATTTGTAGTTTTTTTATTGGCTTTGAGTGTTTATCTTAAAACTCAAGTTTCTTGRTTCTTTGCTCTTGRTGTAAATCGAACACATTTGTGGAGTCGTTTAAATATGTTGGATTTTAAAAATATTGGATTTTAAACTGTCATACAATTTTTTTCATCGATAGTCTGTAATTGAAACCATAACTCTTATTTATTCAAATTGTATTAATATGTAAAGATCAAGTGTAACCTATATCATCGTTAAATCTTATCTTATAAAACTATTGAAACTTCAAAATCGTTAAAATTCAGACTCCCGTCGTATTGTGCGGATACAACTAGTATTTATATGATTTAAATAAATTTTGGATTTAAAAATTTAAAAAAAAAATGCTTAGGAGTTGTGGGCTGGGTTTTGGCGGGAGGGAGTACAGAGAGGTTAAATGATTATTAATTGTCTGTTACGTTATAAATGGAAGATAGACTGTGAGCCGTACGATCTTTCAATACAACTTTGTGGCGCCTTGGTAATCAAGGGCTTGGATTTATCCTTCTTTGGGAGCATTTACTAGCCTACTGTCAGGTCTACCACATAATAATGGTCTTCACTACCTTAAATTTGTCAGATTTTACCCATAAACGGATACTCCAAGTTCCTTCTTCAACCCACCGCTCCATATCCGAATCCGACCACAACATAAAAAAGAATACCATATTGGTAGACTTATTATCGTCAAAAATAAAACTAATCTATATATATACATATATAGAGGGAGGTTCATCAAAAAACCTCAAAAACTAAAAAACACTCTACTAATTATTCATCTGGACGTTATTTATATGTGCTTGCTGGTAACTGAAACTGTTTCTAAGTTTTTTATGCACGTGTGCATACCAGATAAATTGCTTAAAATTACCAGTATTCACATGTGCATGCCGTCCAAATGAACAGTTAACAGGATGTTTCTTAGTTTTTTATTTTTTTATGGTTTTCCCTTGAATTTAAACATACATATGTATGTATGTATGTATGTATGTATGTATGTATGTGTGTGTGTGTGTGCACGTGCGTGCATGCGTGTGGGGGGTGCAGTTTAAACAGTAACATAACATAGAAAAAGGTTAAGTTATAAACCTGATTTCTATTGTGAAACGAGGGACAACTAAGAGGGATACATGTCTAAAATGGAAACGGATTAGATATTGGACGAGTAATACATCCCTCGTTTAATCCCCTCATTCGGTCCCGGACCCCAACTTGATGAGTTAAGGTGCCCGTTAGTAAAAACAATAAAAAAAATTGTATTTTAAAATAAAAAGTTACAATCATCAAAAAATTACTTATCAATATTGAAAATCATATATAATTGTTATATGACTATAAAGATAAATACACATATATTTAATAAAACAAAAGTCTAATCGTGGACGAATTAAGGACAGGTAACCCTCAATCTTGATTCAGGTATGAAAATAGAGCTCTGTCCCCGTCCCATTGCCTGCCAAAGTGAGGAATCACCACTCCTATTAGGGTCGAAATTTTCATCCTACATCTGTCCCCAATCATTATGAATAATGGATGTGAATTCTTTAAAACATTCATAATCAATTTTGAACAATTTATGATGAATATTACACTATTCATAATGAATGTCCCAAACACATGATGCACTCTCGTTGATCTTCCGATTCACAACAAAAAAATCAAGTCCTCAAACGAACCTACCCCCACGACATACATGTCAATCTTCTCCTACCTTTGAGACACCCTTAGATTGACCCTAAGTTTTTATTGACTTCAAAAAACATAACGGATGATATTTAGTAATGATGTCTTGTTTTCTGTACCTGTTAAGTTAAAATCACAAAGAACTAACAAAAGAATATAAAGTAATTAAATTATGTTTAGTCGAAATAAAAATTCACCACAACAAAACAATACCCAATTGGAATAAACCCCAAGTAAAACATAAATTGATGTTAAACTCCATAACATAAGCCATAACCATGGTTGAGATGAAAATTAATTCAATACATTTATCTGAGATAGTTCTTTGTCTATTTATTGCACACTGTCATCGATGCCATAAAACCTAACCGTATTTATGTCGCATATACGAACAACCATATGCAAATCATTGTTATAATATAGTGGACGAATGAGCAAATGATGAATTGTAATGCCTGTAATGACGAGACTATAAAAAGAATTTTCGTGTTGAAGAAATTGACCAAAAAAAAAAACGTCCAATAAGATTTGAGACCACTTAAACCGACATTCGCTTATGAAACAAGATAGATTTTAAACTTATCTTTAAAAGGAAACTTTTACTCGATTGAATGATGTAAAATAACATTGTTAAATATCATGAGTTTATTTGAACAACTATTCGACATCATGAATTCCTGATAACAAAGAGACTAAAAGCACGTATTTTTGTTCTTCTTTTTCACGAGGAAAAATTTAAACAACCAAAAACTATGTCGATATGTCTTCTTTGTCAGATAAAAAGTCGTCAAATGCATGGAGTACGAAGGGAGGGACAAACAGTTGAAAAGTGAGCAGACTGACAATGAGTGAGGAGTAGACCATCGATTATAAAGAGTAAAGAGTAAACCATCATTGTGTAGAATAAAAGAGATGCATTAAAATAAAAATTGTAGGCTTAAAATTTTGCGCGACTTAATCAAAAGGCAACCATAGATGGTCGAAAATTAAACTATCATCTTAATCAATAAGGCACAAAAAAAACACTCTGGCATGACTGAGTTGATAAGTCATCTATTTTATTAAACTCAATAAATAATAAACAAACAACCACGTAAACATATCAGCTTTCAAGAGACATCTTCGAAGCAATAAGTATACATATGTTATACAACTTTCAAAGCTTCTGATTTCAACGTACATACAAATGGTCACTGATTCTACTGAACGAGTCTCGTTATACAACCAGGGGCAGTCCAATCTTTAAGCACTGGGGGCGGGGGCGGGGACGGGGGCAGTCAAAAACCAAAAACTTTTGTTGACTAACTTAAATTTTATATTTTCACTCTCGTCTTACATAGTTTCCCCCCAACTCTATATGCCATATGCTTCCCTCCCCAAAGTCCTATCCAACGTGCTCTCACCCCATTAATTTTTTGGATCCGTCATTGTTAATACAACTATTATTCAACATTATTGAAATTAAGTCGTTTATTATTATTAATATTAATGTTGATAAATGTATGCAATTTTATAAGGGATGTTGTTATATGCATTCATATTTATATTAAAATCATGTCAAATCATACGTTACCAATGTAAAATACAAGTATTGACGTTTATGTAAAAATAAATAAATAAATGTGGGTCCAGTTTTTTATAATACACTTGACAATAGGTGATTAGACCCTTCGTAAGTACAATTGTCCTTTGAAGAACTATATATATTCCTCAACATTCACAATTGTCCACTACATGTTAAAATACGCCATCTTCATTTTTATTAATAGAATTAATCTCATTAAATGCAACACTTTTTTAGTTTCTTAATAGTTAATATTTATATTTGAATTATTTTATAAGAGGTTGTTTAATAGTTGTTGAATGGTTTAGTGTAAAATGATTAAGTAGTCAGAATGATTAAGAGACTCTCACGATATAATGTAATATGAAATATAGTTGTTTGATAATTGTTTACAATAATATTAGGACGCTGAATGGTTAAAGGAGACAAATGATACAAAACCATTCAGATAATTTTAGAACCATTAAAAGACAGATTTTTTTTGACAAACAAGATTCAACTCTTAGCTATTCAGAAGTTGTCTCTTTAAACAAATAAATCATAAGGATATGTCATCTTTTCAACCATCCTAAATATATAAACAACTATAAGAAATACATCATATCAAAATTAATTTATTGTAGATATTGATATTGATGTTTATATTTGTTTAGTACTAAATATTGATATCATTTTGATTATCTTTTAGTAATGTATTTTGATATAAAAATATTACTTCTGTTTGAAATATTTAATGAACTAGATTTTATAAATCAAAATTAAACATATTCTTTAAATATTATATATTTGGTATAAGATTAAGGGGTCGTTTGTCAAACATTCACCATGTAAGTGCTTACTAATAAAAGTTAACATTTTCACTTACTTTATTGGGTGTTTAAAAGGTCGTTTACTGAACACTTACTGGTTTGATTACCTTACCGGGTAAACATAACAACGACCAATAATCTTACCATGTAAAAGGAAGACAAAGATCGAGGATCTTAGGGGCCGTTTACTAAACAGTTACACGAGTTAGTGTTTACCAGGTCAAACTACCTTATGGATGAATATGGTAAGGACCAAAAGTCTTACCAGGTAAGAGCGAGACAATGACCAAAAGTCTTACTCGGTAAGTGAGGACAACCACTCTTACCACGGTACCACAGGTAAATTGTTGCACACGACGTCGTTTTGGTGGACTAAAATCTTACCTTGTAAGTAAATGATAATGTTAAATTTTATCGGTAAGCATAAACCGAGTAAGTATTTGATAAATGACCCCTTAGTGTTTTACCTGGTAAGTGAGGGTGATGATTCTTACCCGGTAAAGACTTACAAGGTTCTAAACATTTACCATCATGGTGGCTGAATATGTTATCCAATAAAGTAAATAAGAGCGATGCTTCTTATCAGTAAACCCTTGGTAATTGTTTGTTAAACGACCCTTAATTAACATTTTCGACTATCAAAATGAATTGTTGATAAACATTAATTACTCAATAAAATTTATCGATTCTTGCTGTATAGAGTTTAGTCTAGTCTTGTCAACCACATCTAGTAAAGTAACATCCGTTTGGTAAATGGGCCTAAACATAGTTTTCCAATTTCCCTTATTTGATATTGGGCTGGCGTATGGTGGTTATGGGCCTGCTTTGAAGTGCTATAGGAATAGCAGTATAACACACTCAGTCACTTGTAACTTGTGATCCCTGCTGACGTGTTCCGATCTTATTGGTGGGAAAATGGAGAGCATGAGCGTATCGGATGCGTCTGATTACGTCTCCGGCTTCTGTTTTTACTAAAAACCTAAGAATTAAGCAAACTCCTGCGGCAAAAAGCGCGCGAAACTCCATTAACGATGCCGGAACTTCCAGAGGTGGAAGCTGCTCGAAGAGCAATTGAAGAAAACTGTATCGGAAAGAAGATTAAACGATCGGTTGTCGCCGATGATGCTAAGGTCATTGACGGCGTTTCACCTTCCGACTTTGAAGCATCTCTCACCGGAAAAACAATCGTTGCCGCTCATCGGAAGGGGAAGAATATGTGGATTCAGCTCGATTCTCCTCCATTTCCATCTTTCCAATTTGGTTAGTATATTTTTCGGCCAATTTACAAACCCTAGAAACGATAGCTATATGTTGTTTCATTTCTTAAAATCTAACTTATAATGTCATAAGCACATTGGTATCTCTATTAATAAACTAGGTCCTGTTTACCAAACGCTTACCGAATAAGCACTTACGGGTAAGAGTCACAGTAACTTGTGAGATAAAATTTTCGGCCATCAAAATGAATCAATGGTAAGCATTTATAACTCGGTAAGTGCTTAATGGGTTAGAGTTTTCACTCTCACTCACCAGAAAAGACTCTTGATCTTTGCCTTCCCTCTTTCGGTCCTTGTTATGTTTACCTGATAAGGAAATTGAACCTATAAGCACTTACTAAGGTAAGTGTTTAGCAAACAGACTCCTAAGTTTGTGTAAACGAGGTGTAAGCATCCGGTGATCCGCCGGTGTAAAATTAGTGGCTGTAGATAGAAAATAAATTGCCCATTGCCGGATTATGCGGTTATACACAATGCATTTTTTGTTGGTTATTTTAGTGAAGTGATAGGCTTATTTTATGTAATTGGATTCACAAGCAAATATGAGGTTGATAGTCAAGCTAAATTATGGGTCAGGAGGTGTGGATATACACCTGTGTAAGCTAACTAGAACCCGAAATTGTTGGATTGCGCCTTATAGCGGGGTTAAGGGGGAAAGGGGTCCAAGGGGCTGCCCCACGAACCCCTTCGGATTTTATGAAGAGAAGTTCTTGGGGAAATGATTTTTGCACTTTCCGAGTGAAATCAGAAGCCTCCGAGTCTCCTTTAGAAGTTTGATTCTAAAAGAGTCAGAAGCTTCGAAGCGTTCTGATGGGTGTGAAGTTTTTTGGTAAACGGCTTATTTGGTAAATGCTATGCATTTAACCGCCTAATAATTACTCCAACAACTATTTCCATTTTATAAGGAGATATTCTCGGCATTAATTTAGAACCGTTATGATTCTTACCAAAGTAATTACTGAAAATCCAAGATTATTCTCGAGTTAATTTCGTGATGCCCAGACAAATTGGAGTCGAAATACAACTTAAGGAAAGCAAGTTCTCACATGATCTCACAGTTTTATCCAAGTTTTCTCTTCGTTTTTCGATGTATTCACAAACTTCCTTCCAACATATATCTCACACTGTCACACATGATAACCACGATTAGGTATAGCGTTGTTTGTGAATGGCCATTTGGGTGTTTAATACTTACATATTTGGTATTATGTATCTTGGCCATCTGAGAACCATAAATATTAATATTAATGATGAATATATGATGCATAGCATTCGGTATTCATGATGAATATCATGAATTTTTGAAATGCACCGAATCCTTTGATATAAAATTCAAGAAATTTTTGGTATATTCATCGTGAATAAGTAATGAATAGTAGTTTTCAAATGTAGTCATGGTTCCTAAGTGAACTCATCCCTATACAATCTATATTCATGTATTCATGGGTGGTTGTGTTTCAGGAATGGCGGGTGCCATATATATCAAAGGTGTCACGGTCACAAAGTATAAACGGTAAGGTGTTGTCTTTTTGTTCTTAGAAACAACTGTTTTTTGAACGATAGTCCCTCAGTCTGACCAAAAACATGTTCGATTTATAGTTCAATGAACATGTTATTAAACAATTACATTTCTAAAAAACAGGTACTTCCAAGTAATCAATATAAAAAAAGATCATGAATAAGAAATTTGTTGGATGGTTGAGGTTTTGTTCCATATATGATGCTTGGTTTCCCTAATTGAATTGTTGACACCTTAGATTAGATTGGTTTGTTGCTTACAGGTCTGCAGTTAATGATACAGATGAGTGGCCTTCCAAATATTCCAAGTTATTTATAGAAGTAAGCCCGGGTACCTCGTTTTATGCAATCATGTAAAATGCATCATTACGATATAAATTAGTTTTATACATATGTTGGTATGCATGTAAAAACCAAACGGAATGAAACGAGTCCACTATATTCCACCCGGAGGTGGGGTCTGAGCCTCTGAGAGTGGGATGTATGTAGACCGGTTCTCTACCCTAAAGAGTAGAGCGACTTTTTCCCAGAAGACCACGGCTAGCAAAAGTGTGCTAAAAAGAAAAGAATTGCCATTCTTAGAGTCCCAATCGATTAGATTTGGACCAATTCTTCTCCTTATATGTTTCAAACTCTGTTCGGTCCTCAATGGCTCTTTTAGAGAGTAAACTAACGGAGTTCCAGATATTCTGACACCATATGTGGTATGCATGTTCTTCTTTTGGGGAATAATCTTATGATGTTGTTTATTGTGCTCTTGGGAGATGTTGATCTTTTGATTTTTTATACCAGCTAGATAACGGTTTGGAGCTATCCTTTACTGACAAGAGGCGATTTGCGAAAGTCCGCTTGCTTAAAAATGTATGATGATACTAGTTACACATTCTTCACTCCCCTTTTTACTTTCGGCATAGGGGAAGAGTTGTGATGATTGTGATGATATTATATGACAGCCAGCTTCTGTGGCCCCAATCTCTGAGCTTGGTCCAGATGCATTATTGGAGCCATTGACAGAAGATGAACTCTTTAAATCACTAAGCAAGAAGAAGATTGGGATTAAGGCTCTCATACTTGATCAGGTTGGAACTGCGTTAGAGCAATAGTAATCATGTGTATATATTGCATGGCTATGTTGATAACTTGCATCATCTTGGATATAAAGGGGGGGGGGTCTTGCTTCTTCTTTATGTATATTTATAATTTATATATACACATAATATTGTTTTCATGTATTTATTGGAGATATGCATCTTGGCAGAGTTTTATATCGGGTGTTGGCAATTGGATTGCAGATGAAGTGCTGTATCAGGTTAGTTATCTGCTCTCTAAATCCTATTTTTGAGCACAAGTTATATTGTTTTTTGTTTTCTTGCTATTTTCAGCCCTAGTCTTTGAAAACCTTATAGATGAGCACCTCTATCTCTCTCTCTCTCTCTCTCTCTTATTGTTGGATAACATGTGCATGGCATTGTATATATATATATATATATATATTTTATATTGCGTGTATATATAGGAGGCAGATCATATAAATCGTCTAAAAGTTAGAAACCATGAAAACCAGTTTGTATGTGAAAATGAGTGTTCATACAGTGTTGTTTCGTAGATGAAACGTCAACGAATGTTTTGCTTGTGAATAAAACACAAAAATACGTTATACATGGAACACACACTCATACTCACACACAAGAAAGAAAACATGTGAAACAATACGAATCGTAGCTTAAAATCAAACTCATTAGATGGTTTTGGTCTTGGTTTTTTACATGTGTTGTTTCATCTATGAAACAATACATGAAACTGGTTTTCATGGTTTCTATATGATTTGCAGTCTCTCTCTCTCTCTCTCTATATATATATATATATTCAGTTTATGGTGCAGAGAGCGGTCTAACTATATGTATGGGTCCCCAGGGTGCACCAATATATCTTTTCCATGTTTGTATAACATCTATGAACTGATTAGGTGATCAAGGTAATGGAATTTTCTTATCCATAGATAGTGTTAGGCAACATACAGCAGCTTGGGGAATAGTAGCATCCCTCATAGAGAGGACACTAAATATGCTTCGACATTTGCTGTCTGTGAAAAACGGAACTCAATTCCATTCCATATCCTAAAACACACCAAATATTCCAAATTCTTCCATGAAATCTAAATCCCTCAAAAACATTATGTCAAACCAAACGGGCCCTCAGTGTTCCTAAGGGGATTTTTACCTTTTTCTTCATCAAGTATGTATGGTTTAAGTTGTCTGTCTGGATAAATTTGACGGTCTGAGGAACGAGAGACAAACGGGTTTGAGGGAGGCAAAGAGAGAGGTTGGATATTTCTGGTATTATTTTGTTTGAGGTGGCTTAACGGGGACAAGTGAGGGGTCATGGCTTATTCCATATAGCCATTTTGACTTAATGGCTTCACGATTAAGCCGTAAAGAAACCCTTTATGGCTGAGCGAATAAGCCGTTCAGACCATTAAGCTCATAAAGCTGCAAGTAAACAGCCTCTAAGATGACCTACATAGATGATTTTGAGGGCTAGATAATTAGGTCATGTTTGATTTTGCTTGTTCTTTGGTTCTTTAAAATTATGATCTCAACCTATCGGTGCTTCTTAGTTCTTATATGGTAATTGAATTATTTTCCAGGCAAGAATCCATCCCCTACAGAGTGCTGCCAGCATATCCAAAGACAGTTGTGCAGCACTGCACAACTCCCTGAAAGAGGTGTGTAATCAAGATGTCTCACCTTTTTCTAACGTGTTAACTGTCTCGTTTAAATTCCGTATGGAGGATGAAATTTGTAGGTTATTCGGCATTCGGTTGAAGTTGATGCCGATTGCAGCCGCTTTCCTGTTGATTGGTTGTTCCATCTTAGATGGGGCAAAAAACCTGGAAAAATAAATGGTAAAGATGATTCTTTCATGTATTTAACTATTTTGACCAAAAGCTCCTCAATACTTACAGGTTATTGAAAAAGCTGTTGAAGTTGGGGCTGATAGTAGCCAGTTTCCTAGTAACTGGATTTTCCATTCCCGAGAAAAGAAACCTGGGAAGGCTTTTGTCGATGGTTTGGCTTCTGACCTGTCTGTCCAGTATTTATTCTGCAGCTACCATCCTTAACTTTGTTTGTTAGGGGCCGTTTACCAAACACTTACCCGGTAAGGCGCTTACCGGCAATAATCACAACCCTTATCTACCTTATTGGGTAACATTCTCGGACATTAAAATGGATTGTTAGTAAACATCTTTTACTCGGTAAGCACTTACCGAGTAAGGGTTTTCTCCCTCACTTACCGGGTAAGATTCTCGGACCTTGTTATGCCTCTTACTGGGTGTTATTCTCGATTTTTGTTATGCTCACCCGGTAAGCGTTTGGTAAATGACCCCTTTAGTGTGCTTACTTGGTCTTCTTCGAGAAATTATCTTGCATGTCTCTTGCAGTTCTCACAGAAAGAGCCGCTCTACTCTTTGGGCAGAGGGCATGTTTGCTTACAAGTTACAACCCACCCCCGGGTGGGATATCCTAGGACTATTTGGTTTTTAGGGTTTTCCTTGTGATTTGTCTGATAGATCTTACCGAGTCCTTGTTACATGCTGTTGTTGCAAAGCATATGAAGTTTAAAGACACTTTCTCTTATACCTTTCTTGTTGCATACTTTCATCTAGTTTTTAGCCTCAGTTGCACAACGTTTATCATAAAAGATAATATGGTCTATGCATAAAAACTATGTATGTTTGTAAGTTATAACCTATTATTGCTACATGAGTCTTTTAGGTATATCTCCTATTGCCTGGAAAGAACTTTTACGAATTTAAAATTCATGGCAGGAAAGAAAATCGAGTTTATCAATGCTGGAGGCAGGGTATGCATCCTCTCAATGGTTTTTAATGTATTTTTGATTGAATATTTAAGGATCCGTTTGTCTTTGTCTGTTAGACATCTGCATTCGTACCCGAGCTGCAAAAGCTAAGTGGAGAACAAGCAGCTAAAGCAGCGGTCAAACCACAAAAGAGGTCTAGTAAGAAGAACAAAGACGAAGATGATGAACCAGAAAGCGAGGATGAAGAAATTGCCAAGAATGCAAAACCGGAAGGAGGGAAGAAAACAACTCAAAGTAGAGCTAAGAATCCTAATACAAAAAGGAAGTCGATCGAAAATGATGACAAAAGCTCTGATGCCAATGATAAAAAATCTGCAACAAGAAAGAAGTCAAAGGGTAGTAGTGAAGTTGATGAGCATCAGAAGGGAAGTAAAGGACACAAGAAGCCTCCTGCAAAGAAGAAGGCACAGGAAAGTGAGGAAGATAGTGATGATGATGGTGAAGAGGAAGGGGAAGAAGAGGAGAGGGTTCAGGTGAAGGGAAAAAAGGAGGTTGCTAAGAAAGTTCAGACTGGTAGGCAGACCAACAAGAGGGCAAAATAATCTTTTTTCCTGGTCTAGTTTTTGTAACCATTATGTGTGGCCAACTAAGGACTTGTAACCTTGTTTTGGTATATATCTGGCCATGGTGCAGCTGAATTTAATCTGTTGAAAGTGATCAAGCTGGTGAATGATTACTGATGATGATTAACTATTCCAAAGTGTATTATTGTTGTATCTCTTTATGAAGAAATGAAATGATTGCAACGCTCAGTTTGTGAACACAAACTAGAGATAATGCATCCCTTGCATTTGCTCCGCTCAAGTACATAGAACAAAATTTCAAGTCAAGCTTAGTTACTTGGGGTGAGTTTGGTATGCAGACAAGACTAGACAAAAGATGGTGACATATGCGAGTTAAAAAATAGTGGAAGGTTTTAGGGGTTTTAATTTGACACGAGTAGTTCAATAATTAACCAATCTTGTACAATCTGTCTAAATTTTTGTTCTATCTATTTTGTGTGCATTTTGTCCACTCCGTCCCATCATTTATTGGTTTAATGTCACAACAAACATGAGACAACAAGTTTTTGTTTTATCATATTCAGTCATGTCCTACGCGCCAAACACGCCCTTGAGGTACAATCCAAGCCTGATAGCACCAAAGATTAGGCCCTCGTGACATGTTTGTCTACTGTTTAGTCTCTCTTTCTAACTTTGCATGAACACTATATTTTGAAGATTGAAGTTTTCTTTGCTACACTTAGGGTGATTGGATAAATTTCCAGCCAATATCTACTATAAATGCAATATGGATATCACAATCATTCACCCTTGTGGAGATCAAGTGAACTAGAACAATTTACCTGTTGCTTCCATCCCAATACCCATCAAATAGGAGTTCCGGGCAAAACAACTTCTTTTTGGTGAGAACAATGGACCTTCATTTACCTCCACATACCTACTTGTATTATCATGACCGAAACTTTAACAAATTCATGCATGTGAAGGTGACTGAAGGTATGTGAAAGTAGATGGAGGTCCATGCTTTATGTGAGTAATCAGATGAAGTAGATGAAGGTCCCCATATTTGTGAATGATCATATAAGAGAATACTCCTCAGAAGTGTTCTCACCATTCTCAGCAAAAAGACATTACATATAATAAATGTAAATTCTATACAATGCACTAATCTGTATTTATAGAGTAGAGAAAGAAGGTTTACAATCATATTCAGAGTCGAGGAAAGTATCCTTAACCTTCAGTAACTATCAGGAGAAGGATACCATATGGCACAAGACAAAGGTATACTTACAATGGTATCATAATCAGAGGAAGTATCTCAGAGCATCAATAACTTTCTCAGGCCTGAAAGAAAGTTAATAGATTGTAAGACCGCTGAGGCAGATCCAGAATTTTTTTGGCACAATATAAAAATAATTAACAAAATTTAATCATAAAAAGTACGGGTTTAATTAAAAATGACCTAGAAGTTGTTTTTTTTTTTTTCTTGTCTGCTACTTTTAGCAAAAAACTAAAAAAAAAGAGTGGAAGTGTTCAAACAAGTTACCAGTCTTCTTGAGGCATATGACCAGCCCCTTCGATTAACTTGAGAGTTATCGCAGTTGGATTTCCTTTTTGGAACTCCTCCGCAATCGACTGAGGGAGATACTTGTCGGACATACCCCATGCAACTAATATTGGTGCATCCCACCTGACATCAATAAGATAAAAAATTATAGTTTGAAAATCGCAGGTAAATGGCTGTAAGATTGTGTTGAAGATAAAATACTCCTACAAGATATGCATTTTGCAATATATTTATACCTCTCGGATTTGAAGCCATCAGCTATCTGGCTTGATGTTGCTCTGAAGTTGGCTCTTTTGGCAGCTTCAAGCAAAGCTAAAACATTGAATTTAAGTACAATTATTACACTTGGATGATTAAACTAGTGTATATTGTCCTAGACCATCAAGTGCAATCTCATTTTCAATGTATTTTGTGTACGCTATTTTTTAAGATTTGCTTTACAGGAAAAACAAATGTTAAAAAGATTTCTTGTAATTTATCAAGCATTATCTAGTTAAGGGTGTCATAGGATAGTAGTACCTTGACATTCACAACCTTCTAGGTCTAGTAGTATTTATAAGTAAGTTATCACCTAAAACTGAGGTTCAAGAGATGAATAATCTTTTTTCTTGGTAACCATGGGTGTCAGGGTCAGCTTGCGTGCACCTAGACTAATCCTAAGGGCCCTGAAGATAACAGTAAGGAAAATCTCTGGTGGGCTTAAGGAGACTCGAACTGGCAACCCATGTAGAGGAGCCCAAGGCCTATATTTTTGTGTGTGGAGTTAATCTACGTATATACGAATCACAGACATATTGATTATTGCTGTTGAACTTGACTAGTAGATTGTAAAATAGGCAGCAAGTGTAAATTTAGTCATCGATGTTGTTACTTATCAAGCATCAAGAGAAGAACAAAGCGAGGACAAATTTACAAACCAAATCCAGGGCCACTGCTTCTCAGATATGGTAGTCGATAAACATCAGCTTTTTCCACCTTCAGGACATAGCTGTCACAAGAATGGAGTTCGTAAGAAGATAGCACTTTTATAATCATATAGTTCGTCAAAAAATCCTCAGCACATAAGAATTCATGCGAAGATGATGATTAATGGATGATGTCACATGGTAGCATACCCATCCATTGATAAACTAACTACCTAGAGACTGAATAAATGGCAAACCGAATTAATAATTGTTGTGCTTGGGGTTCTAAAACTAATAGCTAGAAAATGATAATTCGACCAACAACTTATTGCTTCAAGTCGGGTAATCTGTATCCTTAAAGCAATATTGCCCCCATTGTTCATTGGAATTATCAACATATGCATGGTTGGTGATAATCCCCGCGAACTATTGATTTACAAGGATTTCGAGAAACTAAGAGATTGTGTTTCTGTTGCAACACAACTCTTAGAAATCACTTGTCACTTTGAATGACATTGTGAATGGTCGCAATTATTCGAACAGTCACTATAACAGACCTATCCAAACTGTCGCAACTATCCAGTTCTGTCACTATTGGACAAGTGCACCATCAAAGCACCACATTACGTGCCATGGTCGTGTGCATCTAAGGGTGCACCCTTGTGGAGCCCCTACAGCTTCCATAATTATTAAATTAATATTAAGGAAACGATTCCATTTATATACCCATTTTTTACTTTTTCTCCTATGTGGGAAAGGTGAAATACATCAAAACCAATTCTTTTTTCTTCCTAAGAGTCAACCCAAAAGACTAAGTTTTAACACCATCTTGAAAATTCCCCAACAAAAGTGTTAACTGCTGATGTAGTTTCATGTTGTAAATCAACATTCATGAAGACTTCTTGCTCTCTTTTATAATTGCAAATCGTCAATCAAATATGTGAAAAGTTCAATTACAACCTTTTCTGATCCCGCTGGAGGGGGAGACCCCATATTATACCAGCATCTCTTTYGGTACTAATTTGCAAATTCTTTCTCAGTTAGTTAAAAGAATGAAATTGGCTGAAGGGCGCCGTTTGCCCCACACTTCAGAAAAAGTAAAAAAGTATATCATTCCCCTCTCCTACTTTGGTATATTTTTGCCACTTCCAAACACTCAAATTATGTTCGTAGTAAATAAGTGCACTATTGGATACGTACGCGCTACCTGCTTCAATAAAGCGCTCAGCCATTATAGCATTCTGGCAAGTGAATTCACCAAGCAGCGGAATTCTGTGTAAAAAGGAGGAGAAAATCATAAGCAGATGCACATAGATTACATAATGAGATCCTGATTTGGTCCAGCTATATCGGATTATCCGTTTATATTCAATAAAAATATTATTTACAGGGATATAATGACATGAAAAACTGAAGCCATCTCATTTTTTCATGGACGAGGAGACGGACCCTCAACAATCTCAAAGAACCTATATCAGAAAAGCTATGCTAGTGAAATCAGATTTACAAATAAAAGGAACATGAGTATATGCAGGAGCATAATGATATCCAGCGACCATTTGATGCATCATGCATGTATGGGGATGGCGGAAGGGATAAAGGTATTATTTACAGAAAAAATGACATTAAAAATGTGAAGCTTATGCTCATTATTTCAATATCTAAAAGATGAAGGAAACCTGTAACAATTTCAAAAAATCAATACCAAAAAAGTTATGCTTGTGAAATCATTTTTTAAAGAAAGAAGGAAAGGGGTATATATGCAAGAGCTCATTGATATCCAAAAACCAATTGGTGCCTCATGTATGTATGGCCATGGCAAAAGAGTAAACTTGATGAAAGGTAACATACGTTTGAAAAGTGATGTATACTTCGATAAGAAGTCCTATTAATGTGTCGCACCATATTCAACAAAAAATAAAAAATAAAAATTGTTGCAGAATTTGAACCTGAGCTGTTGAAATAATCCTGGGATAGGAGATGAAGTTGTCAGAGGAGTGTTCATTATTACAAGTTTCGATATCCTGCTGGGGTTCTTTAAGGCCCAAGTTAATCCATAAGAACCTACAAGAAATCCCTACAATACAAGGCAATGAACCTTAGATTTGTGAATTTCATATATATTAATAGACTGAGGAGTCTAATTATTTCATTGTATAAACACATATTTCAACCAACGAAATAGGGAAACTACTATTCATCCAAGTAACTGCAGAAAATAGATCACTTGACCCAAAACATCATGACTACAATCAGATAGACCCACATATACAACATTGGTTGGTTGCTTTTATGATGATATGAACGGTTTATAAATATGATATGACCATTGTCCCCTTACTTTTACACCTAATGTTACTGGGGAAGTAACCAAGCACATACATGTGCGTCCATTTTTTGAGTTGTTAGAAGGAAGTAATTTTAATTAGAAATTTGAAAAGATATGGCATATAAGAAGGTATAATTTTTGGTGCATAATGTGTAAACGGATTAAGAGCTTATTTGATTAATTTTTTGAAAACTATCACATGTTTTAAAACATGAACGAAGATATCTCGACTTTTATGTAATTCCATGCTACAATGACTATAATATCAAATACGAACAATTCGGGTGAAGTACTTGGGGTCTATGGGATAGAATTCCATATAAAAAACAATCAACAGTTAATATTTGGGGTCTATCTATGTTGGCATTAGTCTGATATCTCCCATGCTGGTGGTCTATGGGATAGACTCCCAAGAGATATATTTGCAGATAGTTGATGTGCTAAAAAGGTGTAAATTTTTTGAAGTCAAACACTCAGCAGGAGCTAGACAAAACATTCATATTCAAGACAATCACCAAAAATAGCATGTCAAATTAGTCCCAACCTGAACCACCAGCGAGAAAGGAGATTTGATGTCCAGTGCGTCGAGCAATTTATCCAGTTGTTCATGGTACTCTTTCTCTGTCAATAATAACTTGGTTAGATTGCTCAAGGGAACTGAACTTCATATAACTTGGTAAAGCAAATAGTATTAATTTATGTTCACATAGTCATATTCCTCCAAGGACATCACACACCAGTGTAGTCGAAACCATATCCTGGCTGTGGCTTGTCACTGAAACCAAATCCTATCCAATCAGGCGCGAAACAGTGGAAACCAGCATCGGCCATCTAAATACAAATATGAAGAAGATCAACAATTACTTGAGAACAGGATTATTCAATTCATGTTAATCATTTATCAGCAATTATGTGAAAACACCATTTACTAAAGAACCACTCTACTCATCGATCCAACTGGCATCCGTCCTTTCTTACTAAAGAGCAGTTGAAAGAATCTAAGTATCAAACATTTAACATGGATGAATCAGATCACAACCTGTGACATCACAACTCGATAACCGTAGGACTGTGTTGGAGCACCATGGAGGAAAACAACAGTTCCACGAGGACCAAGCCGGGCATCAGAAGACCCTGCAAGGTTCCAATATGAAATGCCAGAGATACCAAAAGTAAGTGGATGTTAAGCTTTGTGTCTCTGTGTGTTTTATTAATTCTTGTACCTGTTTCTCTGACAAACCATCTAAAGCCTCCAGATTTGATGTAAGAACCATATTCCTTTCCCTTATCTTCAATTCTCTATACAATCAAAATCACTGCTTTTGTTAGAACTTGCAACATCTTTGCAAAAGGAGATCATTTGTAAGAATTCAGATTGTGGCCAGAAGCAACCCAATGCTTAGTAAAATATAAAAACTAAGATAAGTGTAATTATGTCTGTAGCAACTTATTGATCATATATACATTCTTATATTTGTTTTGATTCGGTTTCAGTGCTGCATGAGTTAACCAACAACGTTTGTTAAACCATCTAAGATTTTGCAGTTGCAGTTCACTTGTAAGTTATGAATCCAAGGATTTCTTTACATCTTCAATACAAAATGAATTTACCTAATTTCTTTCATATGCAACAACCCTTTTGGTATGAATAGTTTATCAGTCTGGGCATGGATGTTTTTATTTGGACATCTTGTTTGGGCTACTGGATTTATGTTTTTAATTTCCTGGCGTGGATATTGGCAGGAATTGATTGAAACTTTAGCATGGGCTCATGAACGCACACCTTTGGCCAATTTGATTCGTTGGAGAGATAAACCGGTGGCACTTTCCATTGTACAAGCAAGATTGGTTGGATTAGCCCACTTTTCTGTAGGTTATATATTCAATCCAATAAAGAAACAAATCTATTCAACAAGCAAAAAAGGAGAGAGAGGGATTCGAACCCTCGATAGTAAACTATACCGGTTTTCAAGACCGGGGCTTTCAACCACTCAGCCATCTCTCCGAAAGACAATTTTATTTTATTCCTCCGAATAGAACATGGCCAYATGAGTGGATACCGTCACTATCAAAGATCTCGGGTGTGATGGTCAATCTATCTATCGTGCATAAGATGATGACAGATCATTATTTGATAGATGCACATATTTTTATCCACGATATCTCAATCTATCATTTGCGTGCTAAAATTGACTTAATCTCACAATGTAAGATCATTTACTCAACAAATAAACAAAAAAAAGTATTTCAATCAACCACAAAATAATAAGAATTAAACTCTGATTTCCGAATATATGAAGAACATGAAATGAAGTAAAATTAAGTTATTGACAATACTAACATAGAGCATCTGGCCGACGTTTCCGTCCTCAGCAGGAGCTTCAGGAAGTTGAATGGCGCTCCGGCTTGACGGATTATCTGTGACGAAACCAAAAGGATTAAACGATGGGGTTTCATCGTCCTTTTCTGAAGCTTTTGCGACAAATGTTCGTGTGAGTGACAGTCTCCTCCTAGCGTCTCTTGCGCCGGCGACGGCGGCGATGGTATGGCCGTTGACGGTGGATGAAGAATATGAGGTCGGAAGATTAAGAGGAGGAGGAGAAGGCAGAGAGAAAGCCATCAACCACCCAATATCAGTTTATGCTTTCTGTTTCAATGATCACGCGCCTCTTTTCCTTTATTTCTTCTTCTATATTCATTATTTATCTATAAGTAAATGATAATTAAATATTACTTTTCGATTGTAAAAATAAATTTCTATAATAAAAATAATTTTTTTAAATAACTGAATGACCTTTTTATCTTTTTAAAAAAGATATTTTCTTTATTTCATAATTAACAGTAAAATAGAAAATTAAAATTTATTTTTAAAAAAATGTACATTTATTTTGAAATAAACTAAAATAATAATATGATTATTTAATTTGAACTAATATAGTGGGCAAATTGCATGAAAAAATAACGTATTTTAACTTAATTCTTATTTTAGGTAACATACTTTTAAAACTTTCATTTTGGCATAAAAAATGTAATCTGGTTGAATAACAAATAATACTGAGTTGAATATTATATCACTCGCCGCATCAGCATGATAGCCGGTTACACCGGTAATTAAACATGTTTAAAAATATTGTATCATTTTAAAATCCATTTAAAAATGAAATAATAGGAAGAATTTTTTTTATTAAATTACTTTCCAAATATCCGGGACCCGTAGAAAGGCAGAAGATAGTTTGTTAGGGTAAAATTAACGAATCCGATTTTGACACAACCACTCTCACCACCCCCTTTCGCCCAATTCCGCCGGTGTACTCTTTCTCATACGACCGCCAAGCTCCTGTCGCCGGCCCTGCATCTCCATATTCAAGTATGTTTCTTTGATTCACATCTTCTGTTGTCTTCGCTGCTATGTTAATTGTTAATTCCGCCTTTTGTTTTGAGTTCGTCAGTTCGTATTACAATTAGCTTTGGTAATTTCGCAATCTTGCTGATTAAGAAACCTGAGGTAGTGAGGTTTTTTGCTTTTTGAGCTTAATTTGGCTGATTAGTTAGTTGCTAATTGCTAATTTATGAACAAATTGATGATAGCTACCTACCAAACGAACACGCCCAAAATAAAAATCCAAATTTGGGTATGGCTTGCTAGTCTAGATATTAAACGGAGGAGGTTCTAGAAGAGGCGGCAATATTGTGGGTAAAATTTGGGAAGTAATATTGACAAGTGAGAATGTAATATTGAAAATTGGAAAGCTATAGACATTGACATTATATATATAGGCTGAATTGAATGCAAATATTGCTAGTTTGGCCAATTGCTGCAAGAATGTGAAGTGAATTATATAAGTAAATAACGAGTGTTAAAGATTCAATCTTTAGGGTTTGAAAGCTGTCTAACTTTAGCTTCTGCAAATGATATGAGGTTATTTATCAGTAAGAGCAGATTCCAAGCTAAAAACTTTCTTGAAATAGTTACCTGATACAACTTACGATTTGTGTAGGACCTGTAAATTGGAGTGTCTTTACAGAGTTGGCTGTGTTAGTTTGTTGACGGTTAAAGAAAGCTGAAGAAGGTCATTCAACCACTTAGATCCGCTAAATGCTTTCTAGAAGAATAGGTAAAATGGTGTTTATATGTGTCATCACTAACAGTGATCTTCATCACTAACGGTTTCCTCATCTTCATCACTAACAGTTCCCCTCAATATGTTCATTGAACAATTTATCGAAACAACCCCTCTGTTTTTTCATAACCTCATCATGTTTGAGTAGCAGTAGTGAACGTCACAGTTCAGATAAAGGAATTGCCATGTCACTCACACATGCATACGAGTCGATGCATTGTATGTGACATCCATGAGGAAGTGTGTTCTCTGTACACAAATGTTTTCATTTCTTATTACAAGAGGATAGCAGTATACATACTATAGCAGCATCTACTTTTCAAGGGGTTGTTTAGAAAGGGCTGAATGGGCTTAATGGGGCATTATTGGTGTATCTTATACGCTACGGAAAAACAGCTTAATCCATACATATAGGGCTTTTATCGTACAGACATCTTAGTCCATACATATAGGGCCTTTATCCGTACAGACAGCTTAATCCATACAACCTTAATGGAAAAACAACCAAATAACCCCTTAGTGTTTTAAGTAAAACATTGTCGGTATATCATTATGTGCAATACTATAAAGGTTTCTGTTTTTTGTATCTTATAACGAAATAATGAACTTTTGCTTGTGTACGTTAATTCTCATTCAAGATGGAAGATGGTTCTGATAAAAGTGAAGAGCTGCTTGAGGATGATGGTGGTGATCATGACATAGACAGTGAGCAAGTATTTGCGATTGGAAACAATGATGTGGAGACCGAATCATTGTTTGGGATCGAAGGTGATGACTTGGAGAATGGCAGTGAGCTAGTCCTCGACATTGAAAGCCACGAACAAGAAAACGACAGTGAGCAAATCCTCGAGTTTGAAAATAATGATCTTGAAGATAAGGACCAAATGATCGAGTTTAGAAGCAACAACCACAATACTGATGGTGCCCAAATGCTTGAAATTGGAAATAACAATCAGGATGATGCATCAATATCCGATGATCAACAAGATCCCTCCGAGAGCAAGCACAATCCTCCACCAGTTGTGGGAATGGAATTTGAGTCATATGAAGATGCTTACAAGTACTATAATTGTTATGCTAAAGAACTCGGATTCGCCATTAGGGTCAAATCTTCGTGGACAAAGCGTAACAGCAAAGAGAAACGAGGTGCGGTTCTCTGTTGCAATTGTGAGGGATTCAAGACCTTGAAAGAAGCAAGTAGTAGAAGAAAGGAAACAAGAACAGGTTGTTTAGCAATGATAAGATTGAGATTGGTGGAATCGAGTAGATGGCGGGTTGATGAAGTTAAGCTTGAACACAACCATTTGTTTGATCCCGAAAGAGCCCAAAACTCCAAATCACACAAAAGAACCGACTCTGGAGTAAAACGGAAATTGGAGCCGACCGTTGATGTGGAGGTGCGAACGATTAAGCTGTATCGAACCCCCATTGTAGATGCAATATGTTACGGAAGCTCAAATGAACGAGACTTTGATAACGAGTTTGGGAAAAGCAAACGTTTAAACCTGAACAAGGGGGATGCACAAGTTATCCATGATTATTTTTGTCGGGTCCAGCTAATAAACCCGAACTTCTTTTATATCATGGATTTCACCGATGATGGTTATGTAAGGAATGTCTTTTGGATCGATTCCAGGGCACGGGCTTCATACGGGTATTTTGGAGATGTGGTTTCTCTCGATACAACGTGTTTGACTAGCAAATATATCGTTCCGTTGGTGGTCTTTGTCGGGGTGAATCACCATGGGCAGACTATTTCACTCGGCTGTGCTTTGCTCGCTGACGAAAGTCAAGAAACGTATACTTGGTTATTGAGAGCATGGTTGACTTGTATGTGGGGACGTCCTCCACAAACCATAATCACGGACCCGAGTATGACCCTGCAGAGTGCAATCGCCGAGATTTTCCCTCGGGCCCACCATCGCCTTTGTTTGCCTCTCGTTGTCGAAAGAATTCTTGAAAGCTTGGCGAATTTAGAGTCGGAAGTATTACCAACAGTACTGAATAGCATAATCTACAACTCGATAAAAGTAGAGGAGTTTGAAGTAGCTTGGGATGATATGATCCAACGTTTTGCAATCAGAGACAACGAATATCTACGGAAATTGTTCGAAGATCGAGAGCGGTGGGCCCCAGTTTACTCGAAAGACACGTACTTTGCTGGGATGTTCACTTTTCAGCCAGGTGAGTCCACAGTTCCCTTTTTTCATGGGTACGTCCACCAACAAACTTCTTTGAAAGAATTTTTCGAGATGCATGATTTAGTTCTCCAAAACAAGATCCAAAAGGAAGCATTTGATGATTGTGAATCAAGAGACTCGAACCCTAAGTTAAGAACAATATGCACATATGAATCACAGCTTTCCAAAGTATACACAAAGCAGATATTCTCACTTTTCCAATATGAAGTAGAGATGATGTCCAATTGCTTTAATATATCACAAGTGAATACTAGTGGCTTGATCGTCACATACATGATCACCGAGCAAGAAACCGAGGGAAATTCCATAAGAAATCTTGAAGTAATGTTCGATAAAATAGGATTAGAGATCAGATGCATCTGCAGCTGTTTCAACTTCAAAGGTTACCTATGTAGACATGCGTTATCCGTACTTAACCATAATGGCATAGATGAAATCCCGAGCCAATATATTCTTTCGAGATGGAGGAAAGATTTTAAGCGATTGTACGTACCCGATCTTGGCTCGGATAACGTGGATGTCAGTAGCCCGGTTCAGTGGTTCGTGCATTTGCATAAACAAGCGTTACAAGTCGTTGAGGAAGGGATGACGTCTCAAGAACATTATATGGTTGCTTGGCAAGCGTTCAAAGAGTCGTTGAACAAGGTTCGGTTAGTCTCCGACAAACAGGCTCAAAGTTAATGAGGTACAATTGTAAGATTCTATTCACATGTGAATATGTACTCATGATTCTCTTAGTTTCTTTGTGGTTATCGTATTTCATGTGATTTTGTACAGTTTTTACGATGTTAGACACCATAATACGACTTTGGTGTAGTCTTGTAGAGGGATGGTTGTATAATGGGGGTTTGGCCATGATCCCATCTATAATGGAAAAGTAACTTGGATTGATACCTCCGATTTGTGGTCATTTTTTTATCATGTTGTCTTTATGAAAACAGTTATTTTTTTCCTTTGAGTAAGACTGTTAATGAATCGAGTATAGTAGATTAACATGTCGTTTAAGCTCGGCTTGAGAACATAATTTACTTTTATTTGTTCTGTAAAAATGCATTTGGTACATTGAACACGACATAACAGAACAAGGATCAATGTTTCATGTCTGACAGATTTTTTATATGACAAAGTGGAGCAGACGTGAAGCCAATAATTTACAAACATACCTATTTAAAATAAAAACTTAATTATGTTCTAAAACATCAAAAACGTCTTTTCTTTACATCTCATCCATTCTTTAAATTTATTTAATTGTATTATTTCTTATTTAAACTTTCACATTACTTGTCTCAAAATTTTATTTAATACATTTTCTATATTTTGGTTAATTTATGTAATTTATTGAATATTTATGATAAAAATAATATATAAAAGATATAAAAAAATTGAAAATTAATAAACTTTATATTTTGACGTCCTTTTTATCGCCTTGATAAACGTTTTTTCATTATGTATTTTGTTATAATAAATATTTGTTTTATTATAATTTAATAAATTACATAAATCAATTAAAATTTATAAAATATATAAACAATTCATTAAAAAAATAAATTAATCATTTTACTAATCTTATCATATCCATTCATATCTCACGAAACACTAACCAACTCTCCGTAAACAGTCAAACCAGCCCACAATACTCTTTATAAAGAAAAAAAAAACATAACCATTAGTTCACGAATGAATTACATGTGAAATTAAAAAATAGATGACTTCTCAAAATTTTAATTTATAAAATTTAATTAATTATAAAATATACATAGATTAGAATCTCACTACAAGATAAGTGATAGTGTTAGGATATGTTTGAAAAATTATCTGATAAGCTAGCTGGTAAGTTGATAGCTGATAAACTAGTTGATGGTTGATTAAAAAATAGATGGCTTCCCAAAATTTTAATTTATAAAATTTAGTTAATATGAAATATACATAGATCAGAATCTTACTATAAGCTATAAGGTAAGTGATAATGTTAGGTTATATTTGGAAAACTATCTGATAAGCTAACTAGTAAGCTGATAGCTGATAAACTAATTGTTAGATTATAAGCAGCCGATAAACAAATCGTGTTTGACAAAATAGTTGATGAAAATGTAAATTGAAAAAAAAAATGGTATCCTAAAAGATTAATCAATTGTAATATTTTAAAATATAGTTGAAACAAATCACTAATAATATAATGTGAATAAAAATAAATATGGTCTACCTTACCTATCTTAATTAATTAATATTTTTTTTAAAAATATTTA